GAGCTTCCCTTTCTCTTAACGTCCCTGGCATCTATTGCTTCTTTCTTGAATTTAGCATTCCCCAAGTGGATATCCGTGATCAGATCCACCTGGCATCCACCCGCCTTTAACAGCCTCTGATGAACTTCGAGGAATCACCTCTTCCCCACTCTGTATTCATGTGGTTGGGTGGGGCTGGCCTCACCTCCTTCCTCCTCCATGAAAGGCTGGCGGATATCCCAGGCCCGTCAGCATCATGTTATTGGTTCAGGGATAGACACATGACCCAACTCAAGCCAATGAGAGCTGAGCTTGGAATTTTTGCTGAAAACGTCAGGAAAGAAACAGTCTTCTTACTGGAGTTTCTAAACTGGGAGTGTGTAAACTTGCAGCTGCTAGGGGCCATCTGTACAGCCAAATGGGGAGAGCCTGACTGAGGGTGAAGCCAAACACAGAGGAAATCAGAGCCAAGCGACAGAGAGGGACTGGATTCAGCCATACCTGAATACAGCCCACTCCAGGATTTTTCAGCCACATGAACCAGTTAAAATTAGGTTTCTGTCACCTGTAACAAGGTTCCTAAGCAATACAACTACTAAGGGTGAGGTACCATGCAAGGCAATGGGGTATAACCACAAAGATGTGAGCCTGATTCTAAAAGAGCTCATTTTCTATCTCTTTATTTCTAAGAACGGCTATATTGAGATACAATTCACGTACCATAACATTCATTCTTTTAAAGTCTACAGTCCTATGGTTTTTAGTATAGTCACAGAAATGTGCAACCATCAAGACAGATTACTTTCTACCTTGCACTGAAAATGACAAGCATGTGCTTGCTCTGTTCTGCCCTGTGCACCAGCTCCTCTCCTGAGCCCAGTGCTGGGTTTACGCCTTTCTGTAGTACCAGCAACTGCAGTAGGTGCCCAATGGCTACTAAGCTGTACTCAGACCTCCTGAAAAGCTCGGCCTCCATCCAACAGTTGTTTAGGTCCTCTCTAAAGCACAATGAATGAGAGAACAGATATTTGGCAAAACCACTCAAGAAAAGGATGTGCTCACCGATCACTAGGTTTTCTCTGGGTTTTCCAAGCTGGATCCCTGCAACAGGGTAGACCTTCTGAGAGGTGCACACCTGGAATGTGCTCCTTTGGCTCCCTGAACTTTTCCCAAGTTTATTACAGAATAATTTAAAATAGTAACAAGGGGAAAACATATAAATCCAACAGTAGGGGAATGATTTAATACTTATGGGGCACCCATAGGATAGAATAGTAAATAGCCACTAAAATTCATCTTTGCAAAGAAGATTTAAGGACATGGGGAAATAACCATGCTATAACATTAACTGAATGAAACAAAATATAAAAGGGTGCATAGAGATTTCAAGCACACAAAATAGTAAACACCAGCAACTGGAAGGGAATAATACTAATTATTAGATGCAATTACCCTTGTGTAGGTGGATTATAGACAATTTTTTTCAATGCTTCTCTACAATTTTCTATTTTTCCAAAATGAAAATTACTTAAATCAGAAAAGCTGACATTATTTTTTAACTCATCCCTTGGTTATTATTTACTTTTATTAATGTGGCTACCAAAGAATGAGAAACAATCACATGAAGAACATTTCTGAACCTGCAAAACTTTTATGGAAAAAAAAGACACTGTCCCTCAGAGTCTTTTAAACAAACACGTAAGTAATGTAATCTACCATGTTTACCTTTAACCTTGACTGCCAGGAGGCTCAGAGCTAAAATTTAATTTACAAAAATGCAGTAACCATCTTAGCCCAGGTTCTGGGTTCGGTAACTTGCATGCTTCTATGTGGTTTCTGATGCTTCCTTTTATCTGTTTTTTCAATTGTCTTGCTTGTGTTTTTATATACTCAAATCTTCCTTGGAATACATAAAGAAGTATTTGCTGATGTGATTTGAGGTACACCAGAGAAGAAAGGTCCTGCCTAGCAGATGCTCTGCTGGGATGTTTCATTTTTACAAACACATGGCACTGAGTGGGGCTTTGAATGCTTTATTGCTATTCTAATTACAGGAGAGGGGCAACTGAATAAGTGTGTGCGGGAGGCTCCTTTTTTGAGACAGGCTAGTCCCAATGATCAGATCAACACATGTTTTGCCAAATCTCCATCTCTTTGAAGACTGTGTGGACAGAGGTCCACCCTGGCTGCCCACTGTCTCTGGCCATTGACTGACAGCAAATGTTAACAAAGCCAGCCAAAATGTGTTCACCACATCCATCCTGCATTCAAGTCTACAGACAACAAGTGACACACCCAGCAAGTGACAAGGGGGTATACACAATCCATAAAGACATCCTATCTGAATAAAACAGGGTCCACACACTCTAACACAAGCCCCAAACACCCTTTAGATCACTGTGGATTTTGCTGCAATTACCCAGACTGATCCTTTACTTCGGCTTAGAGAGAAAGTACCTGTACTCTAAAGATGGACCACTTGAAAAAATTAAGTATTGTATCACCCGGGTGTTCTCCCAACCGTGACACTTCATGGCAAGAGATACATATTTGTTTGATTGTAAGCCAAATTCTTTTTTTTTCTGGTGGTAACTTCACCGAGCCTTCATGAGATTTCAGAAGTGAGCAAAACAAATAAGCAGTCAATATTTTAGTTGTGACCATTTTATCACATCTGAAGTCACAATGTCCTACTTGTGAATCCACACCAGAGGAAAATGAAGGAAGGAAGGCAGGAAACGTTTATTTAGTGCTTACAGCATGCCAGACAGAGCACTGGCCGCTGCACCTGCCAGCTCAAGGCATTTTCCATTCCAGCCTGCTATCTCCCTTAAGCATCACAATACCATCCTGGGGAGTACATATAACAGTCCCAGTCTTTCAGAAGTGGAAATCTAGGCTTAGAGAGATCAATACCTTGCTCAAGGTCACCCACAGGGAAGATACTAGGTTTCTGACCAGAAGCCAGGTTAAAGCCACCCCAAAGCCCATGCTCGGTGCCCCTTCAAATGGCGAGATATGCTTCCCTGCTTGCGTGAGGCTGAGATTATACCCTCTGCCCTCCTTCCCCTGAGCTGAAGTGCCTTCTGACTGCCTCATCCTCTTGACTTTAGGCCCCCTCTCACTCAGAAAGTCATCAAGACACACTTGAAAAATAAAATATAAAAGCATCAACCCACACCCTGAAATTGAGCACCCTTCCCTTTGCTGCTACTAACAAGCTAATATGAAATCTCTTTCAGGGAAGCTTTCTGAAGGGAATAAATTGATGGCGAAAACATAATGCAGCTGACAATATTTGGTGATGATGCAAGCAGGGCTGCCCTGTCCATAAATGGTTTTGTCTCCAAAGAACCGGCTCTCCGTGTCCTTTCCAAAACAAAAATAGATAGATAGATAGATAGATAGATAGATAGATATAGATGGAGCAACAGAGAAACAGTATCCAGAAGACAGGTTCGGTATAATTGCATTGCCCTCCCGTTTATGTGTGCCAGGCAACTACCCCAGAGAACTTGAAATGTTCTGGAGAAGACAGGAATGTCATTCAGAAATGATTCCACACGGGTTGGCTCTGCACAGCTACCCAGCTTACATCCTCCTGGGGCAGAGGAAGCTTCTCTGCTTGCAGCAGCCTGCGTGTACCACCACCAACTGCCACCCGTTTCTTCACCTTTTATTTACAGCGCAGAGCAGGCTGGTTCATCAGTGAAGGGAAGAGGTGGGGAATAAGACGCAATCCAGATTTCTGTTCTTTCTCCGGGGACCAAAAAAAGGGGGGGGGGCACACAGAGAAGGAAGTGTAGCCTAGGCTGCACGATCAACGCGGCAGCGCGACCCTGCTCTCAGAAAGGGGTTTGCACCAGGGCTCGAGCAGAAGCGCCCAAGGAGCCCCAGGAAGCCGGGTCAATCAAGCCCAGCGCCTCGGCCGGGCTTTGGCGCGGTGGAAGAGGCGCCAACCGAGCGTACTGCACAGGAAATCACTGCCCCCTTCAGGCCGCGTCTCAGATGCTGCGGCCGGAGCGTAAGGGCTCCCTCAGTCCCGAAAAACTCGCAAACCCGACCTCGCGCGGCCCGCGATCCCTCCTCTGAGCCCCCTAGGCGCACCCCAGCCCCCGGGCGGGCGGTGAAGGTGTGCACTGTTGCTGCAGCCGGAATGCAAGCTGAGGGTGTGAGGAGGGGGCTTGGGATGGAAAGCTCTCGGCTCTTCGGCTCCCCTCAGAGAAGGGGGCAGGGAGGGCAAACCGGGTGCTGCGCTCCAAGTCCGTGCTTCAAGTCTGCGCCCGGGGAAACTGCGCCTGCAGCCGCCCGGCCACCAGCAGCGGCGCGGCTGCACACCCTCGCGCGCCCGGGGCGAGACCTGATCAGGGCACTCTCTGATCAACCAGCCCGAGGGGGTCTCCTCAGAAAACCGCTCGGGCCATAGGCAGCGCCGGGTACATGCAGGCAGCAGCGCTGCAGAGCCGGCGGCCCCACGCCGGCCTGAGTAGTACTGGCTCCGAGCTCGTCCAGCCCTGCTGCGCCCTCCAGCCCCTCGGGTCCCCGAGTCCTCCGGACCTCAAAGCACAGCTCGGCTTTCCTGGATCCGAGAGCAGGCCCGTGGCCTCTCTAGCCCCGGATGGCCCAGTTTAGAGTCAATGCGCCTGTTCTTCCCACCTAGCACTCCACAGCCCCACCAGTGGGGACCTGGGCAGGGGCGACCACTGCAGGCTTTTGGGGAGGTTCAGTTACCACCTTCTCCACTCCTTCTCTGGGCAAAGGAGACCTTAGTCTTCTATCCCACACCCCACAAGAATACACACACATAGAATCCCAGAGGAGGAAGATATTCAGCAAATCTTGGTACCGGCTGTGCCAACCAAGCCCGGCGGGACCCAGAGGGTAAGCACTGAGCCCCAGCCCGCGCGGTGCCCTCGGCAGGCTCAATCAGGGATCTGCCCATGGGCCAAAGCTTGCTTCTGTCCAACACGCCCTCCCCCATCGCCCCCACAGCCCCGACGGAACGGGCGGCCGACACTCACCTCGGTGTCGTAGAGCCGCAGGTCGAGGAAGTAGGGGCGCAGGAGCGACTCGTTGCGGATCTGCTCGATAGCCAGTTCCACGGCGGGGAGCACGCCGCGCCCGATGCTGCCCTTGGCCACCTCCTTGGTGAGCGGCATGAGGCCCATGATGGAGAGCGGAGGGCTGCTGGGCGGCGGCCGGGGGACACCCCGCGCCCAGCCCCAGGCCCCGGGCGCCAGCGGCAGCAGCAGCGGCAGCAGCAGGAGCAGCAGCAGGCGCGCGGGCGGCGGTGGCGGCGGCGGCGGCGGCCCGGGCTGCCCGGAGCTCGGCGGGGAAGCCATGCCGCGCCGCGGGCTGCGGGCGCCGGCTCACTCGGCCCGCATGGCCTGGCCCGGCCCGCCGCCCCGCGCCAAGCTCTCCCCGCGGCGCCCGCGCAATGGCGCCGGCCCCGGCTCCGGCTCCGGCTCGGGCTCCGGCTCGGCTCAGAACGGCCGCGGCGGCGGCAGCGGCGGCGCCCGTGACGGATCAATCACGCCGGGAAGGGGTGGGAACGAGCGGAGTGCGGGAGGCGGGGAACGAGCGAGCGAACGCGGAGAGGGGGGCCGGCGTCTTCGCGCGCGCCTCTCTCCAGCGCGGCTGCCCCGAACCGGGCCGCCTCCGCCCGCCCCCGTGCACGCTCTGAGCCGCTCTCCCGCCGGGAGCCGCTCGGCGGCAGCCTCCGGAGCCCGGCCGGGGGAGGGCGGGCGGTAGGAAACGCGGGAGGCGAAGGCGAGGCTGCTCCGCGGCGGCTCGGGCCGCCTCCGGGGACAGGGACGGGCCGTGCGCGCCGGGGGAGGGGAGGCACTGGCGCTGCGGCGGCCGCGGGGAGGGCCGCCTTCCCAGCACACGCACACACACGCCCCCGGCCCTCCGCCCGCGCGACCGCCCGGGACCTCAGGGCCCGGGTATAGCGGCTGAGGGAACGAGGACGGCGTACTGGCACACGCAGTGGCCGCCGCCGCTTCTCCGAGCGCTTCCTGTAGCACCTGCACGGTGATTTGGGACTGCTTCTTGGAGGTTTGGCTGGGAACGTCTGGTTTGCGAGCGCGCCACTGAGGCGTCCTAGAGGCACCTGCAGCCTACACTCCTCTGCTCTGCGCGGGTGTCTAGGGGGCCCTGACTGAGCCCGAAGGGGCGGCCAAAGATGCCAACGGCGTTCGAACGCCCCTTGGTACTGAGGTGTCCAGCCCTTTGGGCTTGGCTGAAAGCCCCCTCCTTCCCCACCAGACTGAGCCGCCCTTTGCCAACCCCAAGAGAATATGGTCTTCACCTTGCGTGTGCTATTGCCCCCTCCAGGCGTTTGACCTCCCCACGTCCCCATTACCGAAGGGGGCTCCGCCCTAGAAATCTGCCACCCACCCACCCCCGCCTCCCCAGGTCGGAGTACAGTCCTCAGGCCAGAGCGGATCCATGCTCCCCTCGACTTGGCCCTCTCTATAACAGGTAGCACCGACTGCACTGGCTAGCCTTAATTAAGCAAAGCAGTCCTGTAATCTGACCTAGAGCCTCAGGCCCCGTGTACCTCTCCAAGCTTGAAGAATACGAACCGTGGTGGTCATGAAAATACAAAATCCCAAGAGGTGAATAATAAGGGGGACACAATAGGACATCAAATCAGGAAACCTCCTTGAGCCTGAACCAACCATTGTGGGCAATATGGATGACCTTGTTAACAAGGTTGGGAATTTAACCTTCACTGAACACTTGCTACCTGCCTTATTATGGAACACACACAATAGCCCTAGGAACCAATACTGTGTTCATCATCCTCACTTTACAGACCAATACACAGAGAGGTTCCATAGCTTACTGAAGAACACAGAACTACTGAGAGAGGACTGAAACCCAGAGCCAGCAAGAGCTCTGTACACAGTGCAGTGGAAGTCAGGATGGGGAACAGGTTCCCCTGTGGGAAGGAAACTAGCTGCCCTGACTCTGAATTGTTCTAGACCTTGGTCCCCTTGGGCATGTAGTGAAGGAGCTGGACCACACGTTGTCCACAGACTCGCTCTTCTGGAGTGAGGCAGGGGCAGCCCTGAATCATATGCTATGTTATTATCAGGAAGCATGAAGATGGAGAGGAGAGGCCGAGCCCAACTCCTGGAAAGTAACTTGGACAGTTCTGGGGAAACCAAGCCAAATTCTCCCTGTCCAACTCCTCTTTCTAGGCTTCTGCAGACACCACCTCCCAGGCTCCACTTAACCTTTCCAAGCTGGAGGGTTTGCAAGGGCAGAGCTCACTTGTGCATCTCCACCAAAAAAAAAAAAAAAAAAAGTGGTCCAGAGGACAATGTAATCCCTAGATGCTCGCTCAGCTGGTATCTTGACATCACAGATATCCCCTAGTCATAGGCTTCCAGCATCTGCCATTCCTCAACTCCTCAGCTCAGGTTTCTGAATGAGCATTTTCACTTTTTTCCTTTTTTTTCCCCCTTAGTCATTTGTGTTTTCCTTGTAAGCCATGCCAATACGGAGTATCCGCTGACACCTACATCTGGGAATAAGTTGAAAGCTGGAATAACTTTGCTTGACATTTACTAAGTGGTTGAAGGCCCTGCCTGGCAACTACCTTTCAGCCTCTCTGTCTCCACCTATGGGGTGACCTGGCCTCTAGACACCTGGCCTGGGACCAGCCCTGACCCAAGGAGCTCCAATCTCACTCTCCAACAGTCTGGATCCAGGCCAAGCTGTGATCTCATGCCCCATTTCTGATGTCTGGGCATCCCTCTGGTTCCCAGATCCTATTCTGGCCTGTGTTCCAGTTTGGGTAACTGGATCCCCGGCATTCTTCCTTGGGTCTGAGTTACTGTCTTGGTTACCAGTCTCCACTCCATGTTCTTCTAAACCTGGAGTTCAGCCTCTTGCTTTATAATAATCATTCATTGCTTCAATCAATGTTTTGCAGTGTCTACTGTGTGCTGGGCGGTGTCCTAGGAGCGGAGGATACAGAAATAAACAAGCCAAACTAAAATCCCTGCCCTCATAAAATTGACATTCTAGTGGAGATAGAGAGACATAAACAGAAAGAAGAAGAAGATATTTTAGTACGTCAGTTTATGAAAAGTGCTATGGAGAACAATAAAGCAGGAAAGAGGACTGAGACTGACAGGGTGGGGCTGCAGTTTGAAACAGGGAGGTCACAGAAGGACATACTGAGATGACTTCACCAAAGACCTAAAGGAGGTAAGTAAGCAAAACATGCAAATAGTGTTCCAGGTGGAGGAACAGCAAGGGCAGAGGCTCTGAGACAGAAGTGTGCCTGGCATGTTCAAGGAACTGTCAGGAAGCCAGTATAGCTGGAGTGGAGTGAGCAAGGGGAAAAGCAGTAGTACCCAAGGTCAAAGGCAGGCGAGATCAGGTAGGACCTGGGCATTGTGAGGACTTTGGCTTGCACATGACGAAGTGGGGAATGACTGGGGGGAACTGAGTGGGTCAGTGATGTGATCTGATCTGCCTATCACGTAAAGAGTTGTTGGCAGGAAGCGGAGAGACCAGTGAGGAGGCTATTACAATAAGCCACATATGGTAACAAGAACCAGGCTACAAGCAGAGGAGGTGGGGAGAAGTGGCTAGATTAATAATTGTTCTTCTTATTATTAATGGGAATAAAATGCATTGGCAGATGCCAAGTCCCAGGACTGTGGTAAACAACTTACAAGAAACATAGTAGAGACTTTAGAAAGCGATATGCTCAGGGTCGCACCCCTAGAAAGTGATAAAACATGAACGTCAGTCCAGGTCTGTATGGCTTAAATTCTCATCTTCCTCCCCAAATCCTGCCTCCTTAGCAATCCTTTCTCCCATGCCCTTTTCCTATACACAAGAACCAGTAGCTAGTCTCCAAACCCTAGTTTAGAGGTTGGGGCTGTGTGGAAAGATGATGCTTGTTCCCTTTCTGGGGATCTGGGGGGAGTGTGCATGGTCCACTGGCTGCCTGTCAGCAGGACACCGCATCCCTTTAAGCAGGATCCCGACAATGGGAGGCTAACCAGGCCTCCGCCTGCTGTCTGTCCTCCTTCTATATCAGGCTGGACAACCCTTGCCACTCTGGTGCCAGCTGCTCAGATCTGCATCCGTGCAGCTGTCTCCTCCCAGGAACGGGGTCCAGTTTCCAACACCCTGTTCCCAGTTTGACCTGTCATCCATGCCTGCCTCTATTCTAACTCCCAACAACAGGGAGGTCTTCTTTTAAGTTTTTCTTTAAAAAAAAATATAAGCCATCTTTGAAAACATCTCCCATGTATTTTTTATTCATGTTTACATTGAAATGTTTCTTTCAACCAAGTAGCTCGGCTGTTTTTTTTAAAGTACATTGTTTTCATTTCCATTTTTTTAATGGATAAGTTATGAATGATGGATCCAAAAAAGATTAGCTGAATGAATCTAAGTTGCTTTTCTTTTTTCACAAGGCATGTTTTTTAAACCATAAAATTAGGTTTCAGGCATCAAATGTGGTCTGGTGACACAGTTCGAGTAATAATAAAGCTACCATTTATTAAACACCTACCTACTCTGTGCCAGACACCTTGGTATGCATCATCTTAATCTTCATGACTGCCTGAAAAATAGGTGTTAGGATACCAGTTTTTCAAATTATGTGGCTGAGGTCCAGGTGGGTTAAATGACGTGCCTAATGATACTCAGCAGAGGCAGCAACGGGGCCCAAACCCAATCAGTCCAACCCCAAACTCCTGCATTTGCCTCTCCTTGAAGATGCCCTTATATAACTGAGGAGGAAATAGTCTTAAAAAAGTAAAGACTGCTGCTGAGGGTCAACATAAGAAAGAGGTAAGATGCCTTGGCCAGGATCCCCCACCGAAATAGAGATGAGGCTGGCTCTCCTTTATCAGGGGAGAGCATCTGGCCTGGAGACAGTCTGACTAAACCTTTCAGGAGTCAGTGCCAAGCCTGAGGTGGACCAGCAGAGCTTGGAGCCTCTCCTCCCACCCCTGCTCTTCGTGCAGTTTGAGAACAGTGGAAGATGGCGGAATCACCTTGCTCCACGTCGGCTGGACAGGTCCTAAGCGTACATAGGTGGGAAATTTAGTTCATAACTGAGAGGTCTCCAGAAGGATACCACCTCCCATTTAGAGGTTTCAAAAACATTAAGATCCTTTACAAAGGGGATCCTAGATGGATAAAAGGCACAGTTTAGGAACAGAGCCTTAGACAGGGAAGCATCCTGCCAAGTGTCTGGTCTAACCACTCACTAAACCTTAGGGGTAATGGTGAGTTTGGAGTCAGGCAGTCATGGGTTCAAATTCTGGCTTACCCATTATTAGTGGTACAATTCTGGGAAGTCACTCACTCTCCTGAACTTCAGTTTCCTCATCTCTAAAGTGGGAATAAATGATTCCTCTTTCACAACAACAAGGTTGTTGTAAGGATTAAACAGTAACAACAGCTAATATGTATTGAGCACTCACATATGCCGGGGACCCTTCCAAGAACT